AGAGAGAGAGAGAGAGAGAGAGAGAGAGAGAGAGAGAGAGAGAGAAGGAAAAAATTCAGCCCCATCTTAACATTTGTTAATTGCCTACCACGTGGCAAGCACCACACTAAATATTGGGATACAAAAAGAGGGAAAAGACAGTCCCTGCCCTCGAGGAGCTTACAATGGAATGGGTGAGACAACATGCAGACAAAATCTACACAGGATAAGGAGGAGATACTGAATAGAGGGAAGGCCCTGGAATTAGAAGGGGTCCAGGGAGGCTCCTGTAGGAAGTGAGACTTTAGCTGGCTTGTAAAGGAAGCCAGGGAGGCGTGTAGTTGGAGTGGACAGAGAGCATTCCAGACATGGGGGACAGTCAGAGAAAACACCTGGAGCCCCGAGATGGTGGAGGATCCAAGAGGCCGGTGGGTGGCATCGGGCTCAAGAATGTGTGTTGGAGGATAATGTGTAAGAAGATTGGAAAGGGAGGAGGGGACTAGGTTATAAAAAGCTTCAAAGGCCAAACAGAGAAGTTTGTTAGTCAAAACTCCTGTTTTTATAAATGAGGAAACTGGGACCCAGAGAGGTGAGTAGATTCACGATCCGAAGCCAGGTCTACTGCGTCCAAATCCATTGTGCTTTCCTAGAGTCCTAGCTACAGAGGGAGAAGGGCTCTCAAAGACCCTTTGGCCCCACCTCCTCCTGTAACAGATGAGAAAACTTGGGCTCTGAAAGGGTAACAGGCTGGGGAGGGGCCTCCCCCAAGGCTGCAAAGCTGGAAAGAGGCAGAGAACCCAGGGGTGCAGAGGGGGTCTTTGGAATCAGAGGACCTGGGTTCAAATCACGCCTCTGCTGTTTGCTACCTGTGTGACCTGGGGAAAGACATTTCACCTCCCTAGGCCCCTGTAAAATAAACGGGTGGGATTCAGTGGCTCCTAAAGCCCCTGCCAGCCTGGAATCCAAGGACTCCAGAGCCAGGGTTCCTCCCTCCACCAGGCAGACTGCCTTCATGGCCTCTGAGGAGCTGTGATTACTCTCTCAGCTCTGAGCCAAAGCACTTCCTGTGGATAGCCAGCTTACAAACAAATGCAGAAATCCACTTGGTTCCGCTTTTGCTCCCAAGGATTGTGGGGCAAGACTGATCAATACCACTGTGCTAGAAGTGTGGAAGTTCACATAGTTGAGGAAAATAAGCACCACTCCCATGCAGGTTGTGGCAGGTTCTTTACCTTGCACACACAAAAAGTCAAGACTTTCATTTGCACAATTATTGCACGCCAACTGCAGTTTGGTCATGGAAGTTATAGGAAGACCGTAATTGCATGTGACCTGAGAGTATGTGGTTCTGAAGGTTTGGGGATAAGCTTTTCTAAACTTGGTGACATGCATGGGGTTTGCAAATGTTCTCTCTCAGAGAACAAATCATAGAATCAATTTCTTTCATGGTCAAGATTCTCTGGGCTGTCTTTGGTGGACTGATGAGCTAACTGGTCCTCTCCAACTGTTCCTAACTGAGCCCTCCCCCATTTAAATACATTTTTATTTACTTCTTTTGTTTTCACTTTGCTTAATTTCCCCCTCTAGCCTCCCACTTTTACTTCCCCAGAGCTATACCTCATAACAAAGAATTAAAAAAAGAAAAAAGAAGAAAAAATAACCAAAACCAATCACGATCAAACAAATCTGACAAGATGTGATATTTTGCACCCTGTGTCTCCCGACATCTCTACAAAAGTGTGCCTTCTCCTTTTCTGATGGAGAAAAGAAAAGGGGAGTGAATGCTAAGAATATGAGGAGAGCATGAGTAGGAGAGCCTGAGCTTGGTGGGGGTTCATCCATCCTCTGTGAGACTCCCAGTCCAGGGTTCTGTGGCCCGGGCTGACCCTCTCAGGGTCCCACTGGAGGAGGCTCCTTTTCTTGAGAAGAGTAATTATGCTCTGAAGCATATCCTGGCCTGAAGGTTGATGGCCACCAAGGAATGGATGAGGTGTGGCGATCCTCCCCCGGTGCCGTCCTCAGTAGCTTTAGGTCGTGAATTCAGTGTTTAAACGACACAATCCTTCCTCAAGTCTGATTGTCTACATGGAGGGTGAGGAGCTTGGCAATGCTGCTGGCTGAGCGGGGACTTTCTGGTTTCACACCACATCCTTGAAAGGGGAGACGGGATGCACAGAAAAGCAAGATGGGGGATGTCGATGTGCCGTCTCATTTTGCCTTTAGAATGAGTGATTCATCCAGCCTTGAGGGAGGCTCTTCAGGAGAGGATAATATCTGATTTGGAGCACAGGACGAAGTGCACAAGTGGTTGAAAGTTGCATATTGAGGGGCACGGAGGGGTCTCTGACTCTGTAAGGTTCTGCCAGCAGCTTGTGGCAGATTCTGCCTGGCTGGAGAAGCTTCACAGAATCCAGGAACCTTAGAGCTGGTAAGGAACACAAAGGGATCTAGCTTCCACTTCCTCATCTGCAGAAAGGGGCAATAAGAGCACCTCCGTTACTCCATCTGAAAAAAAAAGGAATAGTAACAGCACTGATTGCATTGGGTTGTTGCAAAAATCAAATAGGATAATGTGTGTAAAGTGATTTGTAAAATGGAAAGTGCTGGTATTACTAGCTGATGTTACTTAGTTGGTCAAAGGGTTTTTATTAAAAAGATATCAAGCGCCAGTCATCGTCTAGGCCCTGGCAAAAACAGTTCATGCCTTCAAGGAGCTCATAGCTTAGCTAGAGAAGATGGTATGTACATTTATAGGTACATGCAGAATATGTGATAAAAATGACATTTTTTTATGTTTGCAAAATGCTGTCTACCTATTTATCATCTACCAGTCCACCCATTTATCTGTCTGTCTCTAAATTAATTTGTATATATAAAAATATATAAAAACCCAGTGAGGTAGATGGTATTGGCCCCATTTTACAGATGAGGAAACTGAGGCTGAGCAGGTAAGTGACTTGCCCAGGGTCACAAAATAGAAGATAATTTTGGTGCAGAGCTATTCCTTTTTAAATTTAATAGTATTTTTTTTTCAATCACATGTAAAGACAACTTTCAACATTCACTTTTTGAAAGATTTTGAGTTCCAGATTTTTCTCCCTCCTTACCTCTCCAAGACAGCAAGCAATCTGATATAGGTTACGCATGTGCAGTCATGTAACACATATTTCCACATTAGTCATGTTGTGAAAGAAGAAACAACAAAAGGAAAAAATCACCCAAAACTCCTAAAAGTGAAAAAAGTGTGTTTCAATCTGCATTCAGACTCCATCAGTTCTTTCTCCGATGGTAGATGCATTTTTCATCCAAAGTTCTGCAGAACTGTCTTGGATCTCTGTATTGCTGAGAAGAGCTAAGTGATTCAGAGTTGATCATTGCACAGTATTACTGTTTGTGTGCAGTGTCCTTCTGGTTTTGCTCACTTCACTCAGCATCAGTTCATGTAAGTCTTCCCAGGTGTTTTTGAAATCCACAAAGCAGAGCTATTCTTATAGAAGTTGTGAGCAGAGGATGCTCAGTCCTGAGGCATCATGGGAGATACTGCATTTGAGCTGGGCCTTTGAGGATCAGCAGGGTTGAGACAGTTTTACCAGGTGGTATCACTTCAGAAATTCCACTGGTTTGGATAATACTTAATCTAAAAGACAGATGCAGACCTGCCTAGGTAACTCGATCATAATCTCCTTCCTTTTTTTTTCTATTCAATAGTCCCAAGCCACCCCCTCCTGAGGGCACCAAATTCAACCCTTCAAAAAGACACCGGGACCGTCTGAATCAGGAGCTCAACCAACTTACCAACTTGTTACCCTTTCCCGAGGACGTCCGGGCCCGGCTGGACAAGCTTTCCATCCTCAGGCTGGCTGTGGGTTACCTGAAGGTAAAGGGCTACTTCGAAGGTAAGATGTGTACATGGGCTCCCACTGGGTATTACCAAATCCAGACATCCACCCTGTGAGCCTGCTTGGGAGGTCAGCAGCAGAGCCCTACTTAGGAATTGTTGTTTCCATGGAAAACAAGATGAAAGATGCTCTCAGTTGGGGGATGGGGGTGAACACTCTGTTAGCAGAGACTGAGAGCCCTTGGAGGACGTTTGTGAGGCCCCTTCTGAAGAAGCCGCTGAGAAGGGGAGGAGCAGAGAGGAGTCACAACAGCGTACTGCTGCCTCTAGGAGTTCCAATTTTAACTTTTATTCTTGCCATTTGGTGATAAGCTTTGTTGTTTCTATTACATCTAAGGACTACAAGAGCCATTGCTATCCTTTAAATTCAGTGCCTTGGGTCAAATGTCAGTAATCCAGCCCCAGTTCTGATGCTGGTTGACCACTAGTTGATGGGTTGTGGTCACATGGTGCCATATTTAAGCTGGGAAGTTGCTTTGGGAATGTAGGCGCATGAGGCACAGTGCCATGCCGCAGGCACGTGTTCCTGGGTACAGTGGGAAACAGAGTTGCAAATTCCAGTTTGGACAAGGGCAGAAAATTCCGAATCTCGATGAGCTGGAGCATCTGCCTTGTTAATCTAAGGCCAAGCTCAGATACAATGGCTGATATAGTTTGGCATTGCAGGTGGGTTTTGCACCATGGCCTTCCTTGGATAGGGTATGGATGGTTTACAACTGTCCAATTTCTTCCCTTCGCCTTCTCCCCTCTGGCTTTTGGTTAACTGTTGCGCCTTCTGAGAAATTCAATGACCCCTCTAAATCATGTAGTCTTATTTCAGAACAAAGAGCCCCAATGACTTTGAAACTTAACTTTGACCTCATGACCCATGAACAAAGTCTTTGTGGGCATCATAAATACTTCTTCCTCATGTGGCAGTCTTTGTGGTCTGTGATGATGGGAAATTAGTCTACTTCTAATTCTTAATTCATATTCATGTGTCTCAAAGAAACCCCTAGACCGGAAGCATGAAGAACCATATCTTACCTAAGTTTTGTGGTCACCCATCACCTCCCAGTGTGCTCTGCCAAGAATAACAAGTAAGCAGTAAGTCAACAAGTAGTTAAGTCCCTGCTAAGTGACAATTACTGACCTTGGTGCTGAACATACACAGATAGAAATAAAACAATCCTTGCCCTCAAGGTACTTACATTCTATCATGAGAAAAACATATATGTTATTGTCCTGTTCTTTCAGTCACGCCTGACTCTCTGTGACCCCATTGGGGGTTTTCTTGGCAAAGGTACTGGAGTGGTTTCCCATTTCTTTCTCCAGCTCATTTTACAGATGAGGAAAATGAGGAGTGAAGTGACTTGCCCAGGTTCACAAAGCTAGAAATCTGAAGCCAGATTTGAACTCACAAAGATGAGTCTTTCTGACTCCAAGCCCGGCACTCTATCCACTTCACCACCTAGCTGCCCCAACAACATGCATACATAGTATACTAGGTATATACAAAGTGTGTACTTTTTATACACAGATAAATATAACGTAAAGTAAAATGGATACAAAATAGATTTAAAGTGGTTTGGGAGGGTGTAGAATTGGTAGGTGGGGGATGATGAAAGGCTTCATTCATGGAGAGGGTGGTGCTCTAGTGAAGGCTTGAAAGAAACTAGGGATTCTGAGAGGTTGAGGGGAGGAGGCAATTGTATTCCAGGCATGGGTGACAGTGGGTGCCATTTCTGTAGGAGATCCTTGTGGAACCTATTTTCCTACTGAGGTCTCTTCTCAGTCAGTCAGGAAATAATCACCAAGTGCCTCCCCAGGAGGTGTAGTACCTTCTACCTTCTATCTCATGCTTTGAGGCTGGACACAAGCCCAGAAGAGAAGGACTTGCAAGGATCCAGAACCCAAGAACAGAGGTCCTGGCTTCAGAATGGCCCTTGATCTTGACTGGATTGTGAATGGCAAAATCAGCAGGATGAGGGCTGGGGAAGGGATCTAAGAAAACCTTTATTTTCAGGCTGGATCTGGTGTTTTCAATTCAAAGGTGCTCAGTGCAAGCCACAGGAAGAGCTACCCACACTCTTGGCGAGTGTCCACCCCATCCAACAACTTTGTGTTGGTGCTGTGGGTCTGTTCAGTTTATTTCTGCTGTATATACTTATACATGAACACTTCATCTCTCAATGAAATACAGTCTCTTGGAGGGTAGGGACTTTTAGTTTCACCTTTGGATTTCCAGGTCCTAGCTCAGAGCCTGCACAGTGCAGGGGTTTAATACATGCTTGTGGATTGCTTGCTTGATAGATGGAGCTGCAAGAAGGCAGGGCATGTGCTCATTCTGGATGGACCTCCCATTGACAGAGCAAGGAACAGTCTTCCAGTCAGTGGCAGTTACAGGAAGGCAGCCTGAAGCTCGATGTGGAAAAGAACTTACTAGCATCACAGTTAAGGCTGGCTAAAAAAAAAAAAAAAGAAAAATGGAATGGGCTGCCTTGGAAGATTGGGGGTTTGGGGGGCAGGATCAGTAGTGAGTTCCCTGTGACTAGACATGGTCAAATGAAGTTGTGACTATTTGCCAGGAAGCTGTGTATGGGGCAATAGCTTGGATTACTTGATCTTTGGGGTCCTGTCTAAATTTAAAGTTGGGTAGATCCATGATATTTATGCACCTGAAGTCACAGGCTAGAGAAACACCCATCTCCATTAAAGGAAGTGTCTTCAGGCCAAAAGAGAAGGGGACAATAATGACAAGGAAGATATTAATGCATTCTGACATTGCTTCTCACTTGAAGACTGACAGAGCCCTTTGCACATCTGATCTCAATTGATTCTCACAATGGGCCTGAGAGATTGGTGCTGAATGATTTTGTATTTTATTCTAGAGGCAATAGGAAGCCAGTGGAGTTTCTTGAGCAGGGAGGTGACATGATCAGAACATCATTAGAGGCTAAGGGAAGGGTTCTGCATCACTTGAGGAAAAAAGAACCCCAAATTTCACATTTACATTTTAATTTGTTCCTTAAGATTGATTTAGAGGCAGTCTGGTATAATGAATAGAGGGCTGGCCTTGAAATCAAAAAGACCTGGGTTCGAGTCTTTCCTTTGATATACCCTGGCTGTGTGGCTACTGGCAAGTCAATTAACCACAGGATGCCTGGGGCATGCCTAATGCTATAAGTTACAGATGAGTTGCTAATTTGAATCGGTGGAGGGAATTTACATTGAGCATTCCTCACAGCAATGAAATCATAGGGGAGGTCCAACCTCTCCCCCACCCAAATTATTTTATTTAATATACTGTCAATAGAATTTACCTGGGATGGAATACTAGTTTATTATCCTTAATTCAACTTGAACTGTGAAAAGAAGTCTCCACTTGTCTCCTGCTATATTACTCACTCAGAGAAAGATAATATATACTGAGTGTGAAGATTTATGTAGCATATTTCATAGACAACCTCACTTGAGCTTCTCCACAGTCCTTCGAGGTTGGTATTTTTCCCTTCTTTTTACAGATGAGGAAATGTCAAAGGATGAGCCATTATTGCTGTTGCTGTTACTACCTGCTGTGTGGTAGCTCCCACCCTCTCCAGACCTTGCCAGCTAGCTTTATGATTGCCTGGGATCCAGTCATTCTTCTTTTAGAGCTGAGCTCTTGGCAGTGCCACCCTTTTGAATTCAGATAGACTGGTCTTCACATACCAATCTGTCACAGACTCCATGCAGGCTGCAGACCCTGCTGAATCTCTGGCTCTATCCTCTGGGAGATCCCACTCTCACTTCTCCCCCATAAGGAGGCAGTCAAGGAGAGCATCATCTGGGAAGGTCCTACCTGAGATCTTCCTAGGGCAGGTGTTGCTCCAAACTAAGCCACAAATCTGTAATTCCACAGACAATCCTCCTCACCCTTCACTGGCAAGGAAAGTCGTGGGCCCATGGACCTCAGTGGGAAGTGATTTCAGAGACCGTTAGTTTCAATCCCCTCATTTTACAGAAGAAAAAAAAAAACTGAGGCCACGTAACTGAGGCCACGTAACTGAGGCCAGGTAAAAGAACTTAAGATCAGAGTCCCATAGACTTAGAGCTGGAAGGAACCTCAAAGGTCATTCACCCTCTCATTTCAAAGAGGGGAAAACTGGGGCTCAGGGAGAAAATTAGGTAACTTGCCCAAGGTCACACAAGTCATAAGTGGCAGAGATGGATTCGAACTCAGGGCTTTTGATTCCAAATCCTGTGCTATATCTGCTGTCAAAGGCTGCTAAGGTCTAGTTAAAAACCATGGCCAATTGTTCCTATCCCAGCAAACCTCATTTGTTATTAAGAGAGCACCTGTGAGGGTCAGACCTGATCTGCCTAATTACAGACCTAGCACAATTAATTGCTTAGTAACAGCCTGGTGTTTCGCTGCCAAACATTCTCTCCTGATTTGGATGTACTTAGAGATGGTGGAAATGTTAATGGGAGGATTTCAAGTCTTCTTTATTTAACAATCTATGAATGAGATGGAATAATGTGTTGTAAGCAGTGATGAAGGGGATGGTTTCAGAAAAATCTGGGAAGACTTATGTGAACTGATGTAGAACAAAGTGAGCAGAACCAGGAGAACAATTTACACAGTAACAGCAACATTGTAAAGATAATTGACTGTGAAATACTTAGTAACTCTGACCCACCACAGCTCCCAAAGACTCAGGTTGAAACATGCTATCTCCCTCCAGGCAGAGAGCTGATGGATCTAGAGTGCAAATTGAAGAATATATGTGCATATATATATAGTCTTTTTTTTTCAGAACGTGGCCAATACAGAAGTTTGTTTTGCATAACTTATAACAGATTTTTTTGACCTCTTGCCTTCTTAAGGCAAGGAGTGGGAGTTAGGGGAAGGGAGAGAATTTGGAATGGAAAATGAAATTCAGTATAAAAAGGTGGATACACTCACATTCACACATTGAGAGCTACAAGCCTGTGGACAATCACAGCAGGGTTTAAGTTCATCCCTCCCTGAGCTAG